AATTTTATTTTATAACTTATTGCACAAATTAACTATAAAAAAATTAGACTTTTTTTTTTTGGAGAGAAGAAATTAGACTTTACAAGAAAAAAAATGTTTCATTTTATCATACTAGTAATAAACACAAAATATATTTATATTAAAGTTTTTTTATCCACGTTTTAACTTTTGAAATAATTATATCAATTAATTAGATTTTTTTTGTGTGTGATTTGAAAAGTCTAAATTAGTATATTTATAAATTTTAAATTTTAAGTTAAATAATTATATCAATTAATTAGATTTTTTTTGTGTGTGTGATTTGAAAAGTCTAAATTAGTATATTTATAAAAATTTAAATTTTTGAATGCCTACCTGAGAAAAAAAAATAAAAAAATTCAGAATCGGCCCAGCAAACAAATAGAAGCTAAATAAGTAAAAATAAAGTGCAATCAATTACTCTTGCCAATTATCATCTACATCAAGAAGAAAATAAATCATCGTTACAATATGTAATAAAAATGGCAAAAAGAGAGGGAAAAAATGGTTATTTACTATGACACTGATCCAATCTAGAGAGAGCTCTTCTCCTTTCTCTTCCTGTCTCTTCATAAAAACTTTACTTTCCATTGATCATGTTCCCGATACCAAATTCTAACTTCAGGAATGTGCGCTATGTTTCTGTAATCCTCACCTTGTACTTCTCGATCTAACTTTGAAATCAATTTCTCAGACATTTCACAAAGCTCAAACGTTTGGAGGTTGGTTAGATGTTCGATGCCTGATGGGACCTCCTCCATCAATTCACTATTTCTGATTGTTAGATCTTGAAGGTGGGGCATTGCTCCCTCCTCCACTCTCACCCATCTCAATCCTTTTAATCTATAAAGATGTAATTCTTTAAGCCTCTGAAACCCTCCTGCCTTGAAACACAGTCCGTCCCCTTCGTATGCATGATCAAGTATAAGCTTAGCCAAATTGGGTAATTCTTGTAGGGATTGCAAAGGATCATCCCTTAACTTGCTCCACCCTAAAGCTAAAGCGACAAGGCCATGGAGAGAAGGTATCCAGCGCGGAAACTTCTCCAAACGTCCATCCAAGTATAACTCTTGAAGAAATCGAGGAACTGCAGACAGAGATTGCAGATCAAGGATCTCATCCTCTTTTGTTGACGTTACACATAATCTGCCAAGATTGCTGAGCTTCTCAATGGAAGAGCACAAAATCACTCCATCTTCTCTTCTTAAATTCCAAATGCCTAACTCCCTTAGTTGGGTTAGCCTCCCCAGCTCTTTCACTAGACTAACCCCGCATTCACTTCTTTGGTCTGCCTCTATCATCGACAGCACTTGTAGTGATTGCAAGCTTCCTATCTGAGATGGAGCTTTAAAGCCACGCATATCTCCAAATTCAAAATAAGTGATTCTTGATTTCAAATGATATGATAGGAGATTGCGCAATTTCTGAAGGTGTAGGATTTCATCAGGGAACTCTGTCACATAGGTTCCTACTAGATCTAAGGTCTCCAATTTCGCAAGCTTCCCAATCAACTTTGGGACCATCTTCACTTTTGTATTCCTCAAGCCAAGGTGCCTGAGATGGATCAGTTTAAAAACTTCATTTGGTATAGTATCTAATGGAGTACCTTCAAAATCTAACACATTTAGCAGCCTCGAACTACGTCTAAACAACTCACGCAAGGATGCAATAGGCAATGAATCCATCGGCCCCCAAACAAACAGAGAACGAAGTCGAGAAGAACGCTCGCTATATTCCACATTATCTGAGGTGCTTCGGATCAATAGGCGGCGGACCTTCTCCGGCCTCCTTGAGCCCTGTCTGCAAATTGTTGTTACAATGTTTTGCTCTCTCGCCTTTGAAACAATAATTTCACGCATCAGATCGTGAATGCAGAAATGAGAAGGCCTTCCATCTCGATATCTCTTTGCCACTTGAATCAAACTTCTATTGACTAGCTCACCAAGGTAGCCTTTTGCAACTTCTTCTATTGTCTTCACCTCAATAGTATTCACAAATCCTTCTGCTGTCCAAAGTCGAATTATTATTTCGGACCACATCTTTTGATCCTCCGGGAAAATGCTCAAGTACAAGAAACAAATCTTCAAATAATGAGGCAGATCATTGTAACTGAGAGAGAGCGCTTTTTTCATACTATCTAGTTTGTCATTGCCCTCTAATTCGGCACCAAGGCTGCGATAAAGCATTTCCCATTCGTCTATTCTGCTCCTGTCCTTTGTAGCCAATACACCACTTATGGCTACAATTGCAAGTGGCAATCCCTCACATCTTTTTAAGATTCGAAGAGAAATTTGCTTCAGGTTTGGAGGGCATAAGTTCCCTCGAAAAGTCTTGTTGCAAAACAGCGTCCAAGACTCCTCTTGGGACAACGGCATCAAGTCATAAACATGACCATTAGTTTCTTCGCAACAGGTAGAAGCTATATGGGTGAAACGAGTTGTAAGAATGACACGGCTACCACAATTGTTGTCAGGCAGCACATATTTGATAGCCTCCCAAGCATTGACATTCCAAACATCATCAAAAACAACCACGTACCTCCTTTGTTGCAGAAAATCATTAGCCAGACATTTTAGCCTATTGATGCTCATAGTTTCAACTCCAACAGGGACTGGTTGCATGATTTCTTTAAAGAGTTGTTGAATCATGTCCTTCAGGAGATCCTCAGCCCTTAATGACTCGGAAACAGTGAGCCAAGCGTGGCTGTCAAAATGTTTCTTCGTCGTTGCATCATCGTAGACTTTTTTAACCAGGGTGGTTTTGCCTAATCCCCCCATTCCCACCACAGAAACCGCTTTCAACCCAGAATCTCCCTCGACTAGCCACTCCATCAATTGTCTTTTGGGCATTTCAATGCCCACTAGCTTTGCTTCTTCGAGTAGAAGTGCATCACCACGATAATCATACCATGAATTGTTAACAACATTGGACCTTGAGCCTTGCTCTAGTATACCATATTTATCATGGTATCTTTTATGTCCCTCGGAAATATTGATGACCTTGGACTTGATTCTTTGAATTTCATAAGCAATTTGGTGGCGAGCTTTTAAAGTCTTGGCAAGGTAGAAAACCTTACGAAGAAAACCAAAGAATCCATCGCCGTGATGATGTGCAAGGTGCAGCTTGAATTTGTCAAGAACATCTTCAGTGTCATAAGCAGCATCTCGAACTTGTTTGACCCAAACTTTGAGTTGAGGGTCACTTTCTTCCTTAGCATCAGCAACTCTAAGGAAAGCCGACATGCGCTCGAATTCATCTCTGATGTCTTCCATTGCTTCCCGAACTCCACTCAACAAATTCACCTCTCCCTGAAGGAAGGGTGCAAGTTTGGCTAGAAGATGGAACACTGCAGTTTCAGCCATTTTCTGTTTTGTGTGTGTTTGTTAGCAGTAGTAGGCTTTTGTGTTTGAGGGGATAATTAGGAGAAAATGGTGATCTGAATTGAGTTTCAAAACCGGGAATTTGTAATGCTCAAAAACTCAAATTTATGGTAGCTGTGAAATCTGTTTTTTTTTTTTTTTTTCTATTAGAAACTTTGATGGCAACTTCAGCACTCTTTCTAGGAAGTAACCACTGTTCTGTTGTGATAATATTGATAGTCCTAAAGTTTTTGGTGGAAGTCACTGCGGGGTGCTTATTTCTTTTTTTGGAGTGTGAATGTTAGACGAGGTGATGTTTTTGGATTAAGTGGTTCCCTTGATATTGTTTGGTGTAATTTATGAGTGTCATTTATTAAAAAAAAAAAAAAAAAAAAAATTGTGTAAAATTTTGATAATTTGTGTCGGTATATAATTTATAAAATTAAAATAACTTAAATAAATTAAAAGAACTAATTATTGAAAAGTTGATAAACAATATTTTAATTTGCATTCTTCTAATGGGATTCATGTAAGTCTTAAAAGCAATTTTGTACATACTAATAAATTTAATAATTTTTAGTGACAAATATGATTATTGGATACACCTAATGTTTTTTAGAAATGATATATATAACGGATCTTTAAAATAAACGATTCAAATTATCGAAACGAAAGTGGTGATGAAGTTTACGGACCAGAACAACGCCCTTTAATCCTGAGGAAAATCCAACTCTAAAAAATTTATAAAAAAAAAAAAAAAAAAGAGACAATTTCCCTCTTGTTTTGTGATTCACGAGGGACTATTTTAAGTCGGTCTAAATAATCTGAAATTTCATCAAAATAAACTTGAAATAGGCGCGCAAGTAAAAAAAAGCTGGACCCATGCCATACCTATTCACTGAAAAAGTGAATAAATAAAGGTGGATAGTGGTGAGAAAGTAGGATGAAAGTAGGATGGCAACTTCAGCACTCTTTCTAGGAAGTAACCACCGTTCTGTTGTGATAATATTGATAGTCCTAAAGTTTTTTTTTTTAACAAGTAAATTATAAGTTATATATCAAATAAATAAATATTACAATGAAATTTATTACATGTCCAGAGACAACACACCTTCGACACACCCTTCGACTCCTAAAGTCTTCGTTTGTGCGTAACCTTTGTTGTTTTTGGTGGAAGTCACTTTAGGATGCTTAAGTCTTTGTTTGGAATGTGAATGTTTCATGAGATGATGTTTGTGACTTAAGTGGTTCCTTGGTTTCGTTTTGTGTAATTTATGAGTGTCATTTATAATTTTTTCCTTTTTTATGTTAAATTTTGATAATTTGTGTTGATATAGAATTTATGAAATTAAAATAACTTAAGTACATTAAAAGAACTAAATATTGAAAAGTTGAGACAAAATACTTTTAATTTTTATTCTCTCTTTTTCTAATGGGATTCATGTAAGTCTTAAAAGCAATTTTGTACATACTAATAAATTTAATAATTTTTAGTGACAAATATGATTATTGGATTCACCTAATGTTTTTTAGAAATGATATATATAACGGATCTTTAAAATAAACGATTCAAATTATCGAAACGAAAGTGGTGATGAAGTTTACGGACCAGAACAACGCCCTTTAATCCTGAGGAAAATCCAACTCTAAAAAATTTATAAAAAAAAAAAAAAAAAAGAGAAAATTTCCCTCTTGTTTTGTGATTCACGAGGGACTATTTTAAGTCGGTCTAAATAATCTGAAATTTCATCAAAATAAACTTGAAATAGGCGCGCAAGTAAAAAAAAGCTGGACCCATGCCATACCTATTTTGTCATTGCCCTCTAATTCGGCACCAAGGCTGCGATAAAGCATTTCCCATTCGTCTATTCTGCTCCTGTCCTTTGTAGCCAATACACCACTTATGGCTACAATTGCAAGTGGCAATCCCTCACATCTTTTTAAGATTCGAAGAGAAATTTGCTTCAGGTTTGGAGGGCATAAGTTCCCTCGAAAAGTCTTGTTGCAAAACAGCGTCCAAGACTCCTCTTGGGACAACGGCATCAAGTCATAAACATGACCATTAGTTTCTTCGCAACAGGTAGAAGCTATATGGGTGAAACGAGTTGTGAGAATGACACGGCTACCACAATTGTTGTCAGGCAGCACATGTTTGATAGCCTCCCAAGCATTGACATTCCAAACATCATCGAAAACAACCACGTACCTCCTTTGCTGCAGAAAATCATTAGCTAGACATTTTAGCCTATTGATGCTCATAGTTTCAACTCCAACAGGGACTGGTTGCATGATTTCTTCAAAGAGTTGTTGAATCATGTCCTTCAGGAGATCCTCAGCCCTTAATGACTCGGAAACAATGAGCCAAGCGTGGCCGTCAAAATGTTTCTTCGCCGTTGCATCATCGTAGACTTTTTTCACCAGGGTGGTTTTGCCTAATCCCCCCATTCCCACCACTGAAACCGCTTTCAACCCAGAATCTCCCTCGACTAGCCACTCCATCAATTGTCTTTTGGGCATTTCGATGCCCACTAGCTTTGCTTCTTCGAGTAGAAGTGCATCACCACGATAATCATACCATGAATTGTTAACAACATTGGACCTTGAGCCTTGCTCTAGTATACCATATTTATCATGGTATCTTTTAGGATTGCAAAGGATCATCCCTTAACTTGCTCCACCCTAAAGCTAAAGCGACAAGGCCATGGAGAGAAGGTATCCAGCGCGGAAACTTCTCCAAACGTCCATCCAAGTATAACTCTTGAAGAAATCGAGGAACTGCAGACAGAGATTGCAGATCAAGGATCTCATCCTCTTTTGTTGACAATACAATTAATACGCGAAGATTGCTGAGCTTCTCAATGGAAGAGCACAAAATCACCCCATCTTCTCTTCTTAAATTCCCAATGCCTAACTCCCTTAGTTGGGTTAGCCTCCCCAGCTCTTTCACTATACTAATCCCACCTTCACTGCTTTGGTCTGCCTCTATCAACCGCAGCACTTGTAGATATTGCAACCTTCCTATCTGAGATGGAGATTTGAAGCCACTAAGATCTCCAAATTTCAAATTAACGGTCATTGATTTAAATTGAAATGATATGAGATTGCGCAATTTCTTATACTTTTGTGTTGTGCGCATAACATAGTAATTCTAGGCTAATAATCGAGATAAGAACACATAACGTTTTCAAAATTGGATATCATGATTAGTAGAGGCCGATCTTCGGATCGGGCAAGAGGGGGTGCTCATAGCTGACCTTCCCTAATCATACCCAAGCTCCCGAGCCGAGGCAACTTTGGTGATGACGGACACGTGGCCTTTGGCACCGAGTCAGGGTTTCATAAATTCCCCCATAAAAAAATATTTACGTGGCGACTCTGTATCTGGCAAAGCAATTCATGTTTGGCACTTCTTTTTCAAAAAATCTATTTCTCAAAACGATTTGCCAGATTTGGACTCTTTGGTTCAGATTAAGGACTGTGACACAAATCGAGTCCGAACTGTAGCACGAGGGTCCCCCACGGACGTGTTACAGATACGTGGTGTCATCCCTAATACTGTGCAATGCACACTCAGTTTATAATTCCTTCACAAAAATGTCAAATTTTGATTTTCAACTTTAATATCTCATAACATTTGATGTATATATGGACTTTATTTGAACTTTTTGATGTAATTAGTATTTTTAGATCTACTTGTTACATGTTCGCTATAAAATTCTAAAGAAAGAAAAAAAAAAAAGAAGACAAACTTCACTATTTAACACAGTAAAATATCACTATGTTAACTTAAATAATATAATGTTACTGTTTGAATTTAGTATTTGAACCACTACACATATGTTGTCATCACTATCACAAACCACCACGTTATGACAGTAATTACTATTACTAGAAAAAAGTTAAATAAATTTTTCAAGAGTTTATATCAGACTGTTTGATGTAATTTATACTTACAGCTTATTAGATAAGAACAATTTAAATATGCTTAAAAAAATAATAATTATCTAAAGCTAAAAAAATTACTTATTTTTGAATTTTATTTTTGATTTTCAACTTTCAAATTATGATAAGCTGCACCAAATAGGCCGATAATATGAACAAATATTTAGGATGGAGAAAATGCTAAATAAAATAATAAAGTTAAAAAATGTTATACAAACAAATTTCATTTACAAATTTTTCTCATAACATTTATCATATTAATAAATTAGGTCCTATTTTATATTCCAAAACTACATGACATTTCATATACAAAACTCCATCATATTAATAAATTAGGTCTCATTTCATACTCCAAAGCTAGATCATATTTCATATTTCAATTTTTTTATTTTTTTTATTTTAGGTCAGATCTTCAGATAGTAAGGCAGATCATTGTAACTGAATGAGATTGCATTTTTCATACTATCTAGGTTGTCATTGCCCTTTAATTCAGCATCAAGATTGCGATAACGCATTTTCCATTCGTTTATTCTGCTCATGTCCTTTGTAGCCAAAACACCACTTATCGTTACAATGCAAGCAGCAATCCCTTGCATATTTTTAAGATTCGAAGAGAGATTTGCTTCAAGTGTGGAGGGCATAAGTCCGCCGAAAAAGTCTTGTTTGCAGTAGTAGGCTTTGTGTTTGAAGGGATAATTAAGAGGAAATGGTGAGGTGAACTGTCATGACCCAAACCTGCTCCTATGAGTTTAGCGTCGTAACCGGCCAGTAATCCTTGGATTGCCAAAGGCTTCTTAACATAATAATATATAATTAGGGGCTGTAGAAGCAAATACATAAAATATACATATATGGGACAGATAATCTTAAACTTTCATAAACTTACGAGTGACGTCAAAAGATACAGTATTTACACGTCACTTCATGTACATAAAAACAAAAAAAAACTTGTTTGTGAAGCAAAAGAAACAAAGTCTCATACATTCATAATAACACAACCACTAGACTTGACTTAATCCAAAACCTCCTCGGGAGGTACAAAGGTTGGCTGACAAAAACTGAGACACTAGGTCATCAACTCTGAGCTTGGTCACGTGCCTGATCACCTACATACATAATATAAATAGTGAGCGAGAACCCAGTAAATAATAACAGAGTAAAAGGTTAAATGAATGATGTCCCATAATCAATTCAGAAATTAGAGTTTCATATCAAAACAGATTCACATCAAATTCTTGTTCTGAGCATATACAGAAACCAGAGTTCATGCTTAATTTTACATGGCTTATCCGTTAGTGCTAACTGATCATTTACAAACCATCTTAGATCATACTTGTCAGTTCCATAGAGGAACCTCCGGCTGGGTACGAATAACTTGTCAGTTCTATAAAGGAACCTCCGGACTGGGGACGAATAACTTGTCAATTCCATAAGAAACCTCCAGCTGGGTACAGATAACTTATCAGTTCCATAAGGAACCTCTGGTCCGGGTACAGATAGCACACTTGAATCATAGCATAAATACCACAAACAATTGTAAGAGTTGGACAATCATTCATAGTATAAAACATAGCATTTTACAGAACAGATCCTATTCCATATACAGAAAATAATTTAACCTGAACATAGCTTTACTAAGTTATTATTCACAGCTAACAGATAACTCCAAGTAAACGGACAGAGTAGGCAATTCAAATATCTTGTGGCACGTGACCTACACAAATACAGAACAAATATGTACTGAATTACACACCCGGAATCATTAACTTGGTTCTTTCTTGTTTCGGTGTGTTTCTACTTCTTTATCCCCATTATGATGTCTTAATTTAGCCTAAGAATGCCTAGGATGCAATGAGGATGCAAAAATACATTTGAAAACACTTAACAAAAATTGCTGAAAATAGGGTCCTCGCTCGAACGTAACTTCCTACGTTCGAGCGGACATGCAAAACGTGAGTGGTCGCTCAAGCGCATGATCTGTCGCTTGAGCGACCTGCAAACTTTTGCAAAAGTGCTGGTTGCTTGATTTTTTCGCTCGATACTCGCTCGACGCTCGCTCGAGCATGAGAGACATGCCCTCGCTCGAGCGCAACTTTTGTCGCTCGAGCAGTCTGCAAAACATAAGAACTTTTGAGAGTATGCATTTCACGCTCGAGCAGACTTCTGGTCGCTCGAGCGAAAATGCACGCACTCAGAGTGGTCACTCGAGCGTGGATTCCTTCGCTTGAGCGTAAGAGTAGAATTTTGGAATTTCCAGATTTGCTCCCAAGCTCAAAACTCAAATTCAAAGCCATTAGACTTAACTTTTGGGTCCCAAAACTTGAGAAAACATGTCCAACCTTGGAAAACACAAAGAATTGAAGATCATTTCATGAAATCAAGGCCCAAAAGCATGTCAATTGTGCAAAATACAACTTGAAATGTAAGAACGTGATGTGAACAAGTCATGCATGTGTTTATTTGAGTTCCTAACTTCCAAAACATGATCAAATAAGATATTCTACTCAAAAACATGGTGAATTCTTAAACTTCAACCAAAATATGAACATGCATGGGGAAAATTCTTAAACACCATGCTCTAAATGCAATGTGATGCACATGAAAGTATGTACCCTTCTCTTTTACTTCATTAAGTTTAATTCTTACTTCAACTCACTTAATTCCTTTGAATACATATGATAAGTACCCTAATTACACAACTAAAGACTTGATTTCTTACCTTAGGCTCTCAACTCCTTTAATTCTAGTGAGTTATTGTTCAATTTCTTCAATTCTCCTTAATTCTCTAGCAAATTCCTTGTTGAAGACTTCTCCTTGGTCTCTCACTCTCTCTCTACACGTTTGTGTGTGTGTGTGTGAGCTCGAGATGTGTTGGAGTGGAAGAAAAGAATGAGTGGGAGCACTTAAGAAGCCTTATATAGGCTTGTCTAATGATAGTTAATTAAGACTAATCAAATGAGCCATTAAATTAATCTAATTTAATCATTTCAAACCGAATTTTAATTAAACCTATCATAAAATTCTAAAAATTCTAATTAACACAAAAATCAAGTCAATATTTTCGAATCGGATGTCGATAAGGCCTTCAATTCACAAACCGAAACGAAAACATGAACAGATCTTTCTATGTTAAACAGATACAAACACACATAAGGCAACATATGATGTAAAATTTCTCTTTAATTACTTATTAGGCATAATTAAGAATGGATTAACGTTAATCATGGGTTGGAGTGTACACACCCCATTTTTGACCGACCTTAAGACTCAGACGTTATCGATTGAGTGCTCGGTGATAGTACATGTTTGTGCTCATTTCGAGTTTTCAGAGTTTTTGGCTGAGTGCCTTGCCTCCGGGCCTCTGAACTCTTTGTGTTTTGGCTCAGTTTGTGAACCAAGGCTTGTTGACTCTGCCTGGAGGAAGAGAGAGGTCTGGGAGACCACTTTTTGTGGTCGTAGACCATTTTTCCCTTTTGGAGACTAGTTTCTAGTTTCCGAAGTCTTCGGTCGCGTGTCTTGTCTCGGGACTGCTTAACGTTCTCCTTTTGGCCTGGTTTTTGGACCATGCCTCGTTGCCTTGGTCTAGAGGAACACTGAGGTCTGGGAGATCACTTTTCTCCCGTAGACCACTTTTGGTGCCCGTAGACTAGTTTTCGAGTCTCCTGGCTGCGCGCCTTGACTCGCGGACTTTCGTCTTGCATCCTTTTTGGTTTGTTTTTGGCACAAACCTTGTTTTCCTTGCTTGGAGGGTGGAATAAGGGTGGGAGACCAGTTTCTTTCCCTGAAAACCACTTTTCTTTCCCGCCAGCCAGTTTTCTGGTCGGCCAGCTAGTTTTTTTAATCGAGCAGTCCTCGCTAAATCAGGCCTATCATTTTGAATACTTGGATTTCAGCCATGAGGCCACCATCGTTGGAAAGCTTACTTCTGGGGCTTCATTTTTCACTCAAGAATCTCCTAAAGCCAAGTCCGGATGGGGGAGATATGGTTGGTTGAAGTAGGGCATCAGTCCGGTTGGATCGAAACTGCGCGGCTTCACCAAAACAGGCATAACTTTTTGCACAGTTGGAATTTTAATGCAAGGCTGGCACCATTGGAAAGCTAACTTCTGGGGCTTCAATTTGGACAATTGGAAG